CTTTCCGCCTCGGGCGGCAGTTACCGCGGCCTGGGGCTGGGCACTGTGCTCTCCTTCCTGCTCTGCTGCCCGGAAAACCTTCCCTACTTCGCTGCTGCCCCTGTGGGAGCAGAAAGGCAGCCCGAGAATGTATGGTTGTGGAAACAGCAATCAGGATCTGCAGCCCATTTCTCCCCTTTTCTTTCTTTCCCCCCTTCCTTCTTCCCCTTTTTCTGTCAACGTTTTTGCAAACCTTTTCTGCAGAGATGATTGAGGGCTTGTGTTTTTTCTAGGATACCTGGTACCYAGTGTACCTAGACCTAGCACACCTTAGTAAACTCGACTGGAGGCTTTGTAGAGGTTGGGGCTGCGTTTGTGGGAGTCAGAGCGTGTCCTCATCTCACCATGGCCCAATTCCTGTCACCAGGATGCTGGAATTCTTGAGCTGGGGTTGCACGTTTGAGCATTGTGCTTACAAGCAGGAGGAAGCTGCTTAATGTGCAGCTTCTCCTCGGGGTGAAGCAAAGAAACTCATATYCGTGCTGGCTTTTATATGCCCGCTGCAGTTACTGGATGGGAATAAATAATGGTTTTGATTATTTTCCGTTTCGTTCCTCAGATTGATATACTTGAAGATCCTGTTATTAAAAATGTCGTTGTGCTGCAGACGGTTTTACAAGAAGTCAGGAATCGGAGCGCACCAGTGTACAAGCGAGTCAGGGACATCATTGCGAACCCTGAAAAACATTTCTATTCCTTCACCAAYGAGCATCATCGGTAGGTGACGCAGGATGGGCTGATTAAGCTGTACCAGTGGCCACTAAAGGAAACTGGGAATCAGAGCTGGAAAATGTGAAATTAGGTAAATAAATCAGACCAAGACTTTTAAGGAATCCTTTGGGGAAATTTTTGATTGCAAAGCTCATCTAGATGATGGCCCTAATCAAGGACAAACAAACAAACAAAAATCCCAGTGTGAAAAATACATAGTGAGTGTGACTTTTGCATGTTATTTTTCACTTTTTTTTAAGTACTGTCAAAAATATGTTAGAACTTAGAAAATGAGCTCAAAGTCAGGAAGCATTTATTTTTGGTTTGCTTTCTTTCTCTTTTTCCGCTTTTATAGGAACATTAAATTTCTAAACTGCTTAACTATATCAGTTATTCAGGCCATGCRTTTTCTGAGTGAAAGAAAGAGTGCTTTCTCACTTACTCTCTCAAATGTATAAGAACAGTTATGCTACATTATAAACAATGGGAAACTTTGAATTGGGAATGTACACTGGTTAGCTAATAAGACCAAAATATTGATAAGTCTGTTCTTGTATTCACCTGTTAATATGGTAACATTTCTTTGTCGGAAGCAAGGTTTTGAACCTTTGAATTYATTTGATGCCCTTCTTGATTAGAAGATATTAATTATTTGATCTAGGCGTGATAGGTCTATGTCAGGTACCTTTGTAATCAATGTTGTTTTTAGCAGTTTTTGTTCTGGACCTGTAGTATAGCTTAATAAATCACTTTTCTGAAAATATTGCTTAGTGCTGAGCTCGAGTTGTATGTAAGAAAGTTTATTTGCTCAGTTATATAGAAAGTTATACAGAAATTGAAATAGAAGAGAGCCSCCAGTCAGAGCTCCGAGTGATTCCAACTGAGCACTTAGTTCTGCTTTGAGCTCCTTTCCWTCTATGGGCAGATTTTATTACGAAACAAGACAAAAAAAACCAAAACGCTGAGTAAAGTTTATAGATAAAATTATTAGCCTGAATGTGTTTTATTGTCCCTTTTAGGTGTATCCCAATACTTCATTATCTTTGCCAACTCAGTCTGTTACAGACTTGAAAAATCTTTTGACGGAAAGCTCTAAGGAATGAAGAAACAATTACTTTGAATTGATTTGTTCTCTCGGGTAGTTTTCCCTGCTGTTACATTGTAATTCTGCTGATCATTTGGAATTTCTTTCAGCCCTGCTCAGTTGTCAGTGAGAAGGTTTTATTAGAAATGAATATTGTTATTTTTCCTGACAGTCCTGTTTCTTCACCCTTCCTTGGCCAGTAGAATGTTAGACATATGAGAACTGGCACGGCAGTGATTCGTGTCATGTCTCAATCTTTTTCAATCTGAAATTTGTTTTCTAGCAACTGATATATGTTGGCATTTTATTTATTTATTTGTTTTTCTTCCTTTCAAGGGAAACGTACATAACACAGGAGCAAGGAGAAACTTCTAATGACCGCAATGATAGAGCCATTCGGGTAGCAGTAAAATGGTACAATGAGCACTTGAAGAAAATGAAAAATGAGGAGGAGATCCAAGTTATCCTTCTAACAAATGACAGGAGTAATAAAGAGAAAGCTGTAGAGGAAGGGCTAACTGCTTATACATGTAAGTACGGAAGCGTATCTTTACTTAATTGCTGAGATGCATCATCCCAGTAGTATCTTCATACCTAAATCATGTCCATCTCTTGTGTAAATATTTATGTGTGTTCTTTTATAGGTGAAGAATATATAAAAAGCTTGGTGGCTCATCCTGATCTTGTAGATCGTCTTGCKTGCATATCTGATGAAGGGGTATGTTGGCTTTTTTTTTTAATATATATAAAATAAATCAGTCATAAATGGTTTGCATTGGACTCTGCTGGGGGTTGCTAGTATCAGTTTAGAAGGTGAAGACCCTGGACTTAATATTAACAGTTTGACAGTTAAACACTTTGACATTCTGAAAGAGAAATATTGCACCTATTAGGAGCTATCAACTAGTTATTTTCAAAATATGCGGTGCTTTAGACAACTCTGATGTGAGAGCAAAAACAGTAACAATTGACTAGAAGTGTAAAAGTGTTAAAACGATTGAACTAAAATGAAAACTAGAGAAATYTGGATTGCAAGCCATTGAGAACTTGTCTTGTGTGTTGTTTTGAAGCTTGTGCRGAGTTACTGTTTTTCAAAAGTATTTTCTATCAAAAGCTCTGACTTTTATGGCCACTTAAGTTGATAGAAGTGCAGGCTCTTGCTGAAATATTATTTCCTTACCCATCTATTTCCTTTTCATAGCTAAGGTTTGTATTATATATATATTATATTTGTTGTATCTAAACCTAACCCTAACAACAACAAAAGCTACCAAACAACCAAAACCCCTGAAGCTTTATTCCATCAGAGGAAGCTAACAAAAAGATTGAGATATGTAAGAGTGGGAAGAAAGTAGAGGACTGAACTAACTTTTTGGTGGTCACTTGAACATTGTTCAGCTTTAGTTGTGACTGAACCTTGGAGTTTCCAAGTAACGACAAGAGTAACACCACTTCGTAGTGTTCCATGTGGCTGCCCATATTGTGTGCCACAATGACTGTACACTGCCATGCTAATACTTCGTTAAGTGTGTGCTTGTAGATAGCGCATCCAAATAAGCATAAAAGAATCCATCACTTGCACAGGATATTGTTAAGGAACTGCAAGCAAACAGAAAAGAGGTTTCCAGCATTGTCATGCTTCTGCGTTTTTAGTGTTTTCATGCTTAGTTAGAAAAATTGTCTTACTACTTAACAGTCATTTCTAAATATTGTGGATATTAATTGCTACCTATAATTTTTTTTTTTAAAATGAAGTTTGCTAGCTTGAGTTT